ATTAAAAAAATAATATGTATTAACAAATATAATATGAAATATATTAAAAAAACTATATATTTATGAATTAATGAATAATATGTATTAACAAATATAATATGAAATATATTTAGAAAACTATATATTTATGAATTAATCAATATATATATATATATATATATATATATATATTAATAAATCTGCAAAAATGTCAACAATTCTGTGTTTTTCTGTCAATATGGGGTGCTGTGTGTACATTAATGAGGAAAAAAAATTAACTTAAATGATTTTAGCAAATGGCTGCAATATAACAAAGAGTGAAAAATTTAAGGGGGTCTGAATACTTTCCGTACCCACTGTATATATATATATATCTGTATGCATAAATGCATAATAAATTCACACACATAAAAAATTATAATAAAAATAAATACATAATACATTGTAAAATATATTCATATGTGCATGTGTGTGTGTATTCATCTTATAGCAATATTTGTATTTATGCATACATATATTTAATTATATTTTTAGAAATGTATAAATTCATATATCACTTTGTTTATATATATGTGTGTATGCACATTCACATGATGTAAGACATATTTAAAAGATTATAATAAACACATAATACATTGTACAATGTATTAATATTATATGATATTTAGTGAATAAAGTGTAAACAAAATTTCATATTATATAAATATTTTTATAGAGTTTTTTATTTAGTTGCATAGTAGTCAGAAATATAAAAAAATACTATTGATAGATGATTATAACAATTACTATATTTATTATTATTATTATTAAAAAATTCTCTAAATTCATACTCTTTAAAATGCCACTGCAATATTGGTTGAAGAAAGTCCATTGCTCTCAACAACAGATTGTTCTGTTCCTTTTAATTAGGCTCAATTTAACTATTTTTTAACACAAGAGTGGGTTTTATATAATATAACGCCTCCTAAAAAATGGGATAAACGACTCTAAACTAGGTTGATTAAGACTGACTAGTCATTCAGACAACCCACTAGCTAGTCAATTCTGAATACACACATCCCAAACACACAAACAAACACACACTCACACTTTGCACAATTTCACGATGCAATGTGATGATAAATTGCCATTTCAAACCCAATGAGCGAGTCAAATCTGGTTGTGTTTGTATGTGCCTGTGATACAGCATAATCCTTTTACTTCAGAATTCTGTCACCGGCAAAAATCCCTCCCTAAAAAACCCTCTGCTGCACACTGCGTTTTACAGAGATTCCCATCTCAAGTGTTTGAGAAAACCGCAGTCAACATGTTGGCACCAAGGAACCAGCTCTCCTTGATCAGATGAAATATTCAAATCGGTTTTGGTGCCAATCAGGGCCAACGTCTCGCAAGTCTAAAAATATGGGCTCAGTCTTCAGTCTGTCTTGTTCTGTTGCGAAATATAGTGTTTTTAGGCAGCTGCTCATTGAGAAACAATACTTTTCTGAAGCGTGTCTTCCCTTTTGAGTGTGACAGAGCAGCGCCACTGGTGTCTTCCCCGAAAACAGCTGACGGCCTTAAACACCGCATGTCACTGGCAAAGACTTTACTCCTCCATTGCAATCTCAAATCTGTATTTTTATGCTGATAAGACACTCGGAAAACAATATAAATCAGCTCAATGGCTCTGAAACAACCCCTGGGCAGCCTTGAATTTCCTGACATCTTGAAGTTTCATTTCATCACTTTTGAAAAAGAATGTTAACGATTCCAACCAATGATTACACAACAATGACAGAAATTCAGAGTTTTCAATCATAAATGAAGCAGAAACAGATTTACGGTCAGAGATGTGTAGTCACCTTTCAGATGAATTGAGAAATACTGTATGACCTAGAGAAAATCTGCTCTTATGAAAAAGGAATATAGAAGATAGAAGTGCATAATGCGTATTACACTAATGAGTCCTTCTCTGCCAGACTTTAATGTGGATTTTATTTTTGTGCCATAGATTAAATGGATGAGAACTAATGATAAAATGTAGCATCACTCATTTGTCAATGGATATAACAGCACTGACTTTCCTTTAATATCACTGAGCACCTTCTGCATATAAGCTTATATTCTACTAAATTCAAAGCTTTTACACAAAAAAGCTTTGCAAAAAAGGTTAATCTAAGTCAATAGTGAAAAACACTAAGTGGTACATTTCGCAGAATGTACAGAATTCTTTTACAAACAGGTTTCTGGTGTCATAATTCATAACAAACAAACAAATAAATAAATAATATGAATGATAATTAATATTTAGGAAAAAATTTTTTTTTTTTAAATAAATAAATAAAATAAAATAAAATATAAAGTTCTGGTGCCTTTTTTTCTTTTTTGGATTGGGTAACTTGTCAACTAGTCAAAGAAGCCTGAACAACCACAGCATGTTTTGTTTTTATGTGATGTTTAGAAGTGGGTTTATCTGACATAAATAAATAAATAAACAAACAAACCATACCAATCAAAACAAAGAAATATATTTAATAAATAAAAAATAAATAAAATAAAATATAAAATAAAAATAGACTATCACAGAAAAAAGAAAATCACTCAAAAGGCTGCAGAGTGCTGATCTGTGACTATCTGCATAAAATAATAATAATAATAATAATAATAATAATACAATCAGAATTATTGTTTGTCTAAAAGCAATAAGGACAGATTATTTTACAGAAAGTTTAGAAAATAAAGCAAAATATAGAGTTCTGTTGATGGATATCTAGTTTACTTAAGTTTAAATATTACATCTAAATATCTTTCAAAGATTTAATTCCACTATCCTGGTTTTCTAGTGATTTTCATGTGTACTGGTGCACCATCTCACTCCGAAAAAATGTGTAAAACTAGCCAATCAAATTGCTGATTTTCTTCTAGCTATTGCCATTTTGAGTGTAATATGCACAAAGATGGTCAGTGAACAGACTGAAGCGGAGACAATTTCCCAACTGGACAACAGCCAAACAAACCCAAATGAACCCAAATTGGTCAAATGAACCCGTATGAAACATCGGGAGGAGCAGACTGTCCAAAGTGTTCTTAGAAAGCATTCCATGCTCAGCATTATTTGACAGGAACATGTTCCATCTCTAAAAACAGCCATGAGCACAAAGAACGACCCGCAGATCGAGGCCAGACAGGGTGCGCTCTACCCTCATGCTGCTGCTGCTGCTAACCTTGCCCACTGCACTTAAGCACAACGCAGCTGTATTAAGAGAGAAAGCCACACTCTTCACGCTGCTGCTGGTGTGTGCTGACCCATGAAGGATCTGCACTTCTTTAAAGGGATGTAGCAGCAGGAAACAGAGCTAAAACCCCCAGGCAACCCAAGTTCTCTGTCAACCAGATCTTAGATCTAAAGTGCCCCGATGTGCTAATTTGGTCAACAAGGTGAAACGTGTGAGTGAATAAATCAGCCAACCATCAAAGTCAAGAGAACCTGACTGTTTGTAGCTAATTAAGAAAGTGAAGGGAATTTATTGAGCTGGGAAACGATAACCACCAAAGTCATACACTGCCATTCAAGGTTTGGGTTCAGTAAGATTTTTTTTTTTTACTTTTATTAAGCAAGGATCCATTAAATCAATGACAATTATAATGCTATTTCAAATAAATGCTGTTCTTTTAAACATTCAATTCATCAAAGAATCCTAAACAAAAAAGTATCACGGTTTCCACAAAAGTATTAAGCAGCACTTAAAATTTTTCAACAGTGATAATAACAATAAATGTTTCTTGAGCAGTAAATCAGTATATTAGAATGATTTCTGAAGGATCATGTGACACTGAAGACTGGAGTAATGATGCTGAAAATTCAGCTTTGCTTCACAGGAATAAATTACATTTGAAAAGATATTCAAATAGAACATAGTTATTTTAAATTGTAATAATATTTCACAATATTTCTGTTTTTACTGTATTTTTGATCAAATAAATGCAGCCTTAGTGAGCAAAGGAGAAGTTTTAAAAATCTTACTGACCCCAAACTGAACAGTAATGCATGTCATTATTCAATCCATCACAGTACACAACAAAATGACTGGATCATGATTGATACTGCAGCAAATGAATGAGAATGAGAAAATAAATCTTTAGTATCAGTTTTAGTCTCTAATGCACACTGCAAAAATTATTATGCTAGAACAAATCTGTTTCCTTTCATTTAACATACAGTTTCTGATGTTTCTACTCGATTTTATGCATTCTTCAGGCTGGAAGACCGGCTAGACCAACTTAAACCAGCTTAGACCAACAAATCATCTTAAGTTGTTGTTGTTATTTTTCAGCAGGGAAGACGATAAAAATAAACATTTGCAAGCACTGATATGAATAAGACTTCATTTACAGAGAAATAAACCATTTGGATTGCAGTATTATGTAAGCGGAGCCTAGTTTTCACGACAGGAGAGCCAAATCTGCTTCAACGTCACTGCTTTAACTGTGCTTTAAGCAGTTACGTTTCAAAAACGCATGCAAGTCTAATGTAATTGGCTCTTTTGCATCTTAAGAGACAATTGTAAGTTGCATCGATGTGGAAAGTAAATTGCACTCATTTTATAGAGCTCATAAAAAAAATCAAATGAGCTTAGAAAGCCAATCTAAACCTAGATTAAAAGCTTCATTTAATGTGAAAATTGCTCAGGGAATACGCAACATCTGTTTCTGGACTGACAAGAGTCTCGTCCAAGGTTATCTTGTACAAACAACGATTTACAGCCTTGAAAACCGTCAAGAATTCACAGCAGGAGACTCTATCAGGAACCGGCATCAAAGTTTGCAAGAAATAGGTCTGCTTATGTGACAGTGGTTTCAGGACTGAATCCACGACCTTGGAGATGCTTTTACACCGCTGGCTGTTACTCGGGAGGTTTTACCAACGTCTCGCTGACACGTTTGTGGTCAATTTCCTTGCCGGCATCAAACGCAATTCCCTGGAAAAGATATGTCGGGCACGTTCATTAGTCATAAACGCACAAGCCAAGAGAACCGCTTACCTTTCGGATGACTCGGGTCTGTGAACTCGTACTTCCCCATTCCGACCGTACGGAGCATCTGAAGCCTGTTCGGACTTTCCTGATTGGCTGATGCCGGCTGAGTCGTCGCCTGCCCGTTCGTTAGCGGCAGCTCGGCGGAAGGCAAAGCAGGTGGCTGTATGAGCGGGTGTGTCATGTGACCGTTTCCCACCATGCTCTGAGGGGCGGGGTGAACTACCTGGCCGGCCGTCGTCAGGGGCAACGGGGTGATTGGCGGCTGGCTGGTGGCGTAGGGTGACTGGTTCTGTAGGTTTAGGACCAGGCTACCTGGCACTTGGGAGGAGAGGGGAGGAAGCTGGAAGTGGGCGGTCATGAGTGGATGGTGCGGTGGGATGGGCGTCTGGATGGCTGGGGTCACGCCGATGATGGGAGACTGGACGGACACTCCTTGGCTATAGGTGGGCGGCTGAGGCATCCCATACGAATGGGCCAGTAGGCTGGGCTGACTGGCCGCCACCCCTGGAGGCACCCATGGGGGCCCTGAGGAGCACGAAAAACAAAGTCAAGGACAACCAACATCACATTTGACATTCAGCCGTACACTTCATCTGGGGGAAACTGTGATACTCAATTATTGTTATATGGCATCTATTCTTGGGTAAGGAGGTGTTTGCTAAATAACAAAAGAAGGAACTTTTGGATGCCATTTGGAGGAGCTTCATTTAAAGTCTATGTGAATTGCTGTTGATATTACCTCTAGTAATGAGACAATTTTCAAGTGAAACAGGATATTCAATGAGAAACAAACAAAACTAAATGTAAGCTAGGACTTGCAATAGACATTTGGCTGTCAGTTAGAATAACCTGCATGGCCTAAAGAATAACACATACTGATTAATCACTCACAAAAGGAAGAAAAAAAAAATACACTACCATTTAAAAGTTTTGGGTGACTTTTTATTGTTTAAGTAAATTAATTGTTTTTTTTTTTTTTTTAGCAAGGACACATTAAATTGATCAAAAGTGTCAGTAAAGATATTTAATATATCTATTTCAAATAAATGTTCTTTTGAACGTTTTTGAGCAGTTTTAACAACAATATTAAGCAACACAACTGCATTGATAATAACAAAACATTTTCTTGAGCAGCAAATCAGCATATTAAAATATTTCTGAAAGATCATGTGACACTGAAGACTGGAGTAATGATGCTGAAAATTTAGCTTTGCATCACAGGAATACATTACATTTTAAAAGACATTGCAATACAAAAGAGTTATTTTAAATTGTAATAATATTTCACAATATTACTGTTTTTTTCTGTATTTTTTATCAAATAAATGCAGCCTTGGCGAGCATAAAAAAATTCCAACCCCTAACTTTTGAGCAGTAATGTATTAATAAAGCAAATGTGGTAAATTTTGATATATTGTTGGCTTTAACCCATAAGTCACCACCAACTATGTTTTAAAATAAACAGTAGGTAACGTCACAGCAGTGAACCATTTGCTATTTGCTATTGCTATTCAGAAGTACAGTAGAAGCTATTAGCAGACATCGACATTTAAACAGCATCTGATTGTACAAAAAATTGAGTCATAATATGTTTTTCTCCATTTTTCAAGAAGTTGAAGTACACTATCTAATAGATGGTCTCATAATGTGATATAAATTCTTCAATCTTCAGAGGCACATGTAGGTCTGATTCTTCTTAGATTTTCTCATTTTCCAGCAGTGACCCGGTGGTGCTGATGCTCGAGTCAACCCAGGGTTTGGTTCTGGATGTGGGATTTACTCATAACAACTCCATATTTCAAAATATTTCTTTCTTTATGCATTATTCATCTTTTGAGGGTCACATCAGAGTCATTCAGCAATGCAGTAATGCACCAAGGTTACAACACATGAGTGTACGCATAAGGCAAAAACTTGCTCTTACTGTTTATATTCATCTCTACACTATCACTATAATTTCAAAGACAGACTGAGTTATGATAGCAGATTCTACGGGTGCTTACACACCAGAGAAACCTCCTCTGACGGAGCATTTGATTTACAGTGGGTATAGAAAAGAATCACCCCCCTTTAAAATAATCGCATTTTGTTGCTTTGCAGCCTGAAATGAAGACAGACACAGTTTTTGTTTTATCCAGCTGTATTTACTTTCACCCAAGTGAAAGATATAACACCAACATGTCAGAAAAAAATAAATTAAAAAAATGAAAAAACAGAATCACTGAGTTGGAAAAGGATCACCCCCTTGTGTCAGTATTTTGCTGAACCACCTTTGGCTTTAATTACAGCCTTTAGTCTGTTGGGATTTGTCTCCGCTTTGCACATCTAGACTTTGCAATATTTGTCCACTCTTTCAGTTCTTTGCAGAACTGCTCAAGTTCAGTTCAGTTTGATGGTGAGTGTTTGTGGACTGCAGTCTTCAAGTCATTCCACAGATTTTCAGTGGGGTTTAAGTCTGGGCTCTGATTAGGCCATGCAAGGACATTCACCTTTTTCTCCTTCAACCACTGTGTGCTTTGGGTCATTGTCATGTTGGAAGGTAAACCTTCTTCCCATTGACAACTTTCTGGCAGAGGGCAGCAGATTTATGTCCGCCAGACATATCGTTTGGTGTTGAGGCCAAATAATACAATTTTAGTCTCATCTGCCTCAGAATCATCTCCACATGGATTTATTTAATTGCACTCATGCTACCTCTGAGCCTCATTAAACGTCTGAAAATGTACCTACAAGCCACTTTTGTGTTCTTCTGTGCCACCTCTGTAGTACAAATTAAATTATTAATACTAATTTCATATGATTGGTAACTTATTTATAAGTTGCACTGAGTAAATACAGCTGGATAAAACAAAAACCGTGTCTGTCTTTATTTCAGGCTGCAAAGCAACAAAATGTGATTATTTGAAGGGGGTTATTCTTTTCTATACCCACTGTATATAAAGGTGTAAAAGATGCATGTTGCATCTATGTTGCCCATTATAGTTTGGTACACACGTCAGAACTGCTTTCTCCTTGCAGAAAATCTCCATGCGTGCAACGGAGGAATTTTAAAGGATTTTATAAGGTCTTTATGAGTTATAAGCGGGTAAAAATACCACATGTATACATATAACAAGCAAATTCAGTCCAGCACACAGCATGGTTTTGGATGTCTGATAAGTTCAGAAAAAAATATATGTCACAAAAGTTGTTCAGGTTGTGGCCGTATCCTTATGCCCTATGTTTGGTATCTTTAGGTTGGGTGTTCAAAATTACATTGTGAACGCTAAGCGAACTTCACCCTTGTGGCATTCCAAAACTGATTTTCTTCTGCAAAACAGAAGATATTTTGAAGAACGCTGGGGCCCAAACAAACTTGGACCCCATTGGCTTTCATTGTATGGTCAAAAAACATTGACACATTCTTCAAAATATCTTTTGTGTTCCACAGAAAGCATGCATGGGTTTGGAACGGCATAATGATGAGTAAATAATGACACAATTTAGATTTTTAACTATCCTTTTAAGTCTCAGATTGAGTCTTTTTAAGCATAAGGTCACAGGAGGGAAACCAGATTGCTACTGTTTACCGTACAGTTTACTCACAATGCAACATGGCAGATTTATCTCATGAATATGTGCTCTTGTGGCCCCGTGCCCTTCCTCCTCTGCTGCAAAAATAGCTCCTCAACAATGATGGTCCATAACACAAAATACACCAGGCGTTGAAAAGATTAAAAAACATTAATCATGACACTGGCCTTCACCGCACTATAGTCTGAAGAGACGGAAATATACTAGCGGGAATATATTCACCTCAGCCTGAATGAGGTGCGTGCATAATTCAGAACAAACTAAAGGATAGCTGCACTTAATTTCAACCACCACGGACACGCTAACAAAAGAAAGCCCAATATTTCCTAGTCCATTAGACACAAAAGTGCTATTAACCAAAAACGTAATTCCCAGAGCATTTAAGCGTTTTCTGCAGATTTGTGCACTGCAATCAAGTCTTTTGACGAAAAATCTATCATTAGATTATTAAAGAAAGAAATAAATAAGAATGAAACTCAATTATAGCCCTTGCTTCAGCGCTGAAAAGCTAATGAAATTAGCAGTATGGATCCTAGTGCTGATTGCTTATATAATTACAATGTGCACGTTGTTTCATAAGAGTGCTTTGTCCTTTCCGAAAAGTCTAGATCTCTTTTTTTCTCAAGTTAAATCAACCACTAATTATTACAAGGGTCTTTTTTTTTGATGAATTTAAATTAAAGTGCAAATCAACATCATGCGAGAGCCAATTGTTTGTGAAAGTTTGGGAAAAAGTTTTTCCGAAATGACTTCCTCACTGCGCACTGCTAACCGTCATGATTAATTAATTCCCGCAGAGTCATTATGTTGCTTTTTTGTCTCTGAGATAATGGGAAGCAGATCTCGGCTCCAGATATGTCATATTACACCGAGCGCTGTCGAACGAGGGGAAGTTGAGTGACATCTCACTTTGTGTTTCGGGGAAGGTGCTGCAAAAGCGTCCCTGTAGAGCACAACACAATGCTAACGCTCCCTCCTTCTGTGAGACTTTGGTTCCTGCTTAAACGCCTCAGCGGGGGGCCCCTGTGGAGGCCCCGGGGGGCTTGAGAGAAGCCGATACAAAACACACGCAACTGTCCTCCTCAACAGCGATGTCCAATTTCCCACGTATAATGACTCAGGAGAGGCTAGTCAGGCCAGCAGTCTGTCTTTATTAACAGATCATTCAGGAAACGGCCGTGTAAAGTGCATTACTTTGGTCGACCCCTCATTATGCCTCGATTTTCTCTGTTTGATGCTACGGCATGATGAATTTCAAAGCAATATCTAAAAACTCAAAGACGCATGAGCCCATGTAAGCTCATTTGAGCAGGGAAACGCCATAACTAGGTGTACGTCAATATGGTAATTTCATGAATCTGAGACCAGTTCTAGTCCTGGAAGCTGATTGGTCAAGAGCGCATTCCATTTGAAGACACACCTCTTCCACAATCTGCAACCATAAACTAAGACATGATTATGATGTGGTTTAATGATTAGTCGCTTTGGATAATAAGTGTATAAAATCCACAATATAAATATAAATATAAATTAGTGCTGTCAAACGATTAATCGCATCCAAAATAAAGGTTTTTGTTTACAGAATATGTGTGTGTGTTAGTGATGCGCGGATGGCGGTTATATCCGCGGGCGCTGCGGATAATCCGCGGGTCGGGTAATAAAAAAAATGCATTCTGATTATCATGCACACACACACATTTTGAAAATATTTACATGTATTTGCATGTATATATTTATATGCATATAATTTATATTATATATAAGTATATTTAATATATAAACATAACATATTTTATGGAGTTGTCCACACTGAAGTTTATTCTGATCAGGAAGCACCTACTTAGAATTATTTCTTTATCTGAAATAATAATAATAATAATAATAATTATTATTATTATTGTTGATGTTTTTTTTACAGTTCTACAAAAGTTTCCACACAAAAAAATAATATTATTGAATGTAGTTTTATGCATGTAGTATTATTAATTGTATGTAGTATGTAGTATTGGATGTCTTCAATAATAATTGAAAAAACTTTTTTTAGTTTTCACAATATTTGTTTTTTTGTTTTTTAGAAAACAATCATTTTACATTTTAGGTATATTTCACAATATTGCTATTGCTCACAATATTGCTTAAAAAATGAAGTAATGATAATTTCTAAAAAAAAGAAAAATGTTCTCAGTCGTCTTTTTTAAATCAAGTATTATTATGAGGGAAAATATCTTATTTTTATTTTATTTTATAGTGAGATGTTGACCATTAACTGGTTGAGTAAAATCAAAACTATTTGTTTTAAACCCCTGTTTATGATTTAATTCATTCATATAGCTGCAGCTTGCATCCAAATTGACTTTCAAATGAGGAAAACAACACAAGCAACTCGTCCAAGGGAAGCATACTGTTTACAGTCTGTTGTCCTCATCTGTATGAAGGAACAGATGAAGACGGGGGTTGATGTACCTGTGGTGTCGCTCTCTCTGTGCTGCTTGGTGGGAGGCTCGTCGGTCTCCCACGGAGTGGACTGGTTGATGGGGGTCTGGCCCCATCTCACTCCAGGAGCCAACAGGAGACTCGGAGGCTGCGTCTCACCGGGAGAAAGACCCGCCGCCTGCGAAGAGACAATACATACGATTGAGATCAGACTATATGACACAAAACAGCTTGTACCAACAGCTTCTATCAGTGGGACTTTTCACCCAATCACACCAACCAAATGAATGGACTGAGTGAATCAAAAGGACACGTGAAGCCACCTTAAAACACAACACCACAAAAAGAAAACGCTAAATAAATTAGGAAAAGCAGAGCAATTTACTGCATCTTCCAAAACGGGTTCATAAACCCTGGATTTAATGGGTCATTTTATGTTGTTACAAATTCAATTTGACTTTATACCAATTCCAGATTCTGATTACGTTCTATTCACAACAAAAAAAGGAATATTCTACCCTAATATAAATTTGAATAACAGTAATTAAAATATGTAAATGACACTTGTGTGTGTTTATGTCAGGTTTCCGCTTTTACGATTTCCTCTGCGTTTTCTGAAATGGCTGAAATTATGAGGCTCTAATTACATATTGTGAGGGAGTCTGGCTCTTATAATCAGTATTTCTCAAGTTCTTAGAAGTACTCATGTCAGACTAGGATTGGTGATTAATTATCTAGCATAAGAGCAAGAAAACTAGAAGTGTCGTGGAGACAGTTACTAAATGCCTTCATTAAAATTCCTTCATATACAGTGTACCATAAAATGAGATTTAAACCCAGGCCAAAAAGATTAGAAAGATTAAATGGCTTCATCAAACAGTGTAATTGCGGAATGTTTTTATATTTGGATCAACCTCAGGAGGTCTAATTAAATGTTTTACAAGTTGTTTTATTTTGCATTTATTTTATATGAGATTTGTAATTTTTGCAACCCTGTTAAAAACATTTGGGACATGTCTGAATACAGTTTAAAAATGTCATTTGTCTTTTGTTATTTTCATAAAATATAAATGAATGAATGAATGAAATCGATGCACATTTACTTCATTTTCTAGCAATTCACAATTAATCTTAAACAGCCAATTCATAAAATAAAATAAAACAAAATAAAATTGATGCACAATTACACCAAATTAAGCTGTCATTTTCTAGCAATTCACAATTAACCTTACACAGCTAATTCACGAAATAAAACACAAATGAAATAAAATAAAATAAAATAAATAATAATAAAAACTCCAAATTACGCAGTCGTTTTCAAGCAATTCACAACAAAACAAAAAACAAAATACAAAACAAAACAAAACAAAATAAAATAAAAAACAAAAAACAAAAAACAAAACATTTTGTTTTGTTTTGTTTTATTTTAAAGGTGTTATTCACAAACGCATTAATGCTTTGATAACAATATTAATACTCAAATGCTTGGATAACAATATTAATACTCAAATCATGAAAAACAAGAAATTTGTGTTTTTAAAAAAGCACTGAGGCACTGAAGCGTACTGTATTCACAGAACGTGCCAGCTAAATAAGACTGAACGATTGCTGACGGTATGAAGGAGTGGGAGAACGAAGCTGCTCAAAAAAAAAGCCTTTAAAATAAACAAGAAAAAAAGGGAACGACATTCAGACTCAAGTTAAGATTAATAGCAGAGGAAGTTTAGAGACATTGCTTCACTTGCTTTTCTTTGCTCAACTTTTATTGAGTTGAGATTCGGTGTCAAACAGGCAGGCGGAGTGATCCGGGCAGATGTATGAAGCGAGTTCCAGAGAGACGAGTTAACCCTGCATCGCAACCTCACCTTGCTCCCAAAACCCCTGAGTTAATGGAAAAGACCTCGTTATCAAGCCTCTGCTCCGGCCTGCGAGTTTTCCTCTGTTCCATTATCCTCCCTGACCTGCGCTTTACTTCATCAATTTACCCATCATGCATCTCTGTCACCTAAATGTCATTTTAAAGTATGTTACACTGTAAATGGAAAAATTATAATGAAGGCATTTAGTAATGGTCTCCTCTGGTTCCCTTTCAGTCGGTCACTCTCGACGT